CTCCCAATCCGACGAAACTACCAACCTCATTCTCCTCATCCGCTGCAAAAGGCATGCATTTAAGACCATTCAACGCTACATTTAATCGAAGCTCTTTGAACAGAGCCACAAACTCATCATTAGACTGCTAAAAATGCAAGTCTCTCCCCACACAGACCTTAACCCCTTCTGATAGATTCTTGACTGCACTACCAGCGATATCCAATTGCCCAAGAAAAGCAAACTCACAAACTTTCTTTCCTTCCGTATTCAACCCAACATCATATTTAGTTTTCATAACTGATAGCCTACCCCTCTTCTCCGTTACATCTGCATCACTCTTCAACACCTCACAAGAAGGGGTATAAGAAGAGGATGGAGCAGTAAAGGGGCTCCGAGAAATTAAGTCTAAAGACATACCTGAACCATTAGTAGGAATCCACTTATGCTTTTCTTTCTTGACCATCGAACTCCATGATGATTACTGTCTGAATCCCAAGATGGAAATCTAGATCTTCCCTTCGGCTGTGAATTATCAGAAAAGAATGTAGAAGAAATGTCGGCGCAACACTGAGAATGACGAAACCCCTTCTTGACAGGTCTTACACCAGCCGCGGCAGCAGAGAGATTCATCCATCTCATCTTCTCCGGCGAGTTCCAAACAATTGCAGGGAGTTCGTTTGAACGACGATTCTGTGAGTTGCTAATATCAGTAGAGATAGGTGGGTTGGGCTTTGCATTAAGAAAAGAAATTGAGATCATATTATTGGGCCCCCGCGTAACCTCTCTCTTTGGATTGCTCAGTTGTGGCCCATTTCGCAACTTATCAACTTTATGGTTGGGCTTAGGCAAATTATGTGGGTTGGACTTCTCATTCAGGAAAGAGATTTATAATTGGTTTTTAGCCCCAATTAACAGCCCTCTTAACCTCCTGAGGGCCATGATGAATTAGCCTATTTGTCATAGAAGGCCCAGAACGTGCTTCGAACCCATGCTTAGGCCCAGCAATGGCCATTGCATGAATGGCTCCATTAATGCCACAATCTCTGCCACGTGGTTGGTGATCTTTGAAGCGGTCAATACGAGAAGATGGTGCGCACTGATTAAGGGGGTGATTGACACGGCTCCTAAATCTGCCCTCCCTACTCGATTTAGGCGCGTGGGCATGCAATCGGCTTTTTCCTTTGAGGCCATAACGGAACTGTAAATTCTGGAGACCCCCTTTAATGATCGTTGCAGCATGCGGGATGTGGGGGCTCTCCCCAACACCATAATAAGACTTCGGGAGGATGCGGGGTGTGACTTCCTCAATCAAATTGACCTAAATCCTACTATTTGATCCTCAACAAAAACATACTCCGGCATCACTTTTCCAGTGGATACGTAGAGAAGGATTCTCTCTCCACTCGCCGAAACGTCCGCCTCAACACCTCGAAATCCACCACATAAATTTCCGATTGCTTCGAATAACTTATGGCACCAAAGATGAAGGGGCAAACCAAACGACATCACCCTTCGTATTTCTCGATCTTTCACTGCAAAACATCCAACCGCGAAGTGCCAAATGTCGATGGATAACAAGGCTTTGCCCCATCTCTTCCTTCCTTCATCCAAAACCCTTGAAGCTTCAATCTCCGATGGAAACTTAAACAGAAATAAATCGTGGGGAAGGGAAGAAACTTTCACCCCGCTCGAGACCTTCCAAGCTTTCTTCGCTCACGCCTCAATCCCTTCAATACACCCCACATCTCTATCAAAGCGACCTACCAGACATGATCGCAAAGCAAATTCACGCTCCTTGATGCTTTGATGATCAACCCTAAAAACCAAATCATCGCCTATAGAGCAGCTTTTGATTTCTCCATGGAAGTTGAGACGAGGTAAGGTCGCGACACTGAGATAGGATCGATGCATATCACAAGTCCCTGCCGAAAAGCCAAAAATCCAACAGCAAAAAGCATAAACATAAATGGCAGACGCCGGAGTGAAAGACTCCGACGTCAAAAAAAAGTAGAGAGAGAATAGAGAAAGTCAAACATGGTTAACCATCAAGTAACATCCTAACCACGTTTAAAGGACAAATTGATTTGACAAGGGGTCAGGGAGTTATGTGCCACAAAATGATGAAGTAGGATATGGACATGGCATAGGCACGGCTAATATAAATATATGTTTTCAATTATATATCTATTGACCGAGACAATTATGAAATTTTAATTAATTTATAATTTTTATTATAAAGTTATATGTTCTCCTATCTTGTTATCATAGTTATGTTTTTGTTCATTACATATTGTGGTGTGTTTTATTTCAAATTTTCAATTATATGTATACAAGTAACAATAGTACAAACATATTTTTATGCACTGACAAAAAAGGTAGAAGACTAAATTACCCATATAAAAGGTAAAAGACTAAAGTAACCATACAAACTCAAAATATTCTCTAACTCCTCCCTGAATTTCACGATGTTATGGTAAGCAGCATTGAGAGTTTGTCAAGAAAAAAATGAAAACGCACAGTAGTGTTAGAGAATTTGGCCAGGTAGATTGATCCACCAAATTATTTATTCAAGTGATTATCTTCGCATTATTCACTTCCCATATAGATAACAATGCAGCATACATTTCAGCTTTCCCTTATGATGGAATAGACAAAGTCCCCATGACAATTGTTTGCCCATCAGAGAAATTTTCATTACATAGGCCCAATTCACATAATTTTCACCGGTCAATTTCACAGTAATAGCCCGGAGAGAGTCTGTATTTCCGTTGGTCATCTTAAAAATAATATAAAAGAAATTTTATAATTTGTATTATCACTTCCCAAAGTCCCAAAGTTCACAACTTTCCAAAGTACTATTCTGTAAGATGCTAAGATCCCAATGTGGCGAATAGATAGAGACAGAGAGACTTAAGTTGCCAAATCTGTAAGTTGTGACCCGAATTTGGTGCCAGGTTTGCACTGAGTCTTTTGTTTGCAGGTCGTGAACCCTATTTAGCACTCTCTTGTAGCCCGATAGATAATGGCGCTTAGGGTTTGGAGAGGGAATAGATTGAGACAATGAAAATCGCAGAGAAAGTGGGAATGAAACTTGTAATCTCCTATTATTGGCATAGTGAAAACTTTCGCCGATCAATGTAGGCTTTGCCGAATCATGCTATATCTGTGTTCTTTGTGTGGCGTATTTATTTTCTCTCATGATTCTTGGTTTTATCTTGGGTTTGCTGTGTTTGTCGTGACAAAATCCGAGATGCAATCAGTGAAGTGGCTCGAGATAGTTGACTTGGTGCAATTGCTGAAAATTGATAAGCTAAGTTTAAAGATGCCAAGAATCAATCAAACTGAATAGAGTTTTGATGAGAAGACAAACTGAAATTCTGTACAAAATCCTAGTCAATTGTTGCGATATGACTATTGCAATCGATTTCAATTAGGGTTAAAAAGAAGAAGAAAAAAAAAAATGGATCTATAATATGTAGTATCACCGCCCAAAGTCCCAAAGTTCACCACTGTCCAAAGTACAATATGCTGTAAGATGCCAAGGTCCCAATGTGACACAAACAGAGAGAGACAGAGAGGCAAACTTGAGTTGCCAAATCTGATTGCAAATCACCAACGGGCAGTGGCCTAGCGGTGTCAGCCTCTTACTTCTCAAAGGGAGATCCGGGATTCGAGTCTCAGAAGAGACGTGTGCGTAAGTACCAACTAGGAAAAAAAAAATGTAAGTGGAACAAGAAGAGGGTATAATCCTTAATCGATCGTGTAATGTTAAAACGTGCCACATCTAAGAAGAATTCAAACAATCAGTCCAGGCATGTTGCAGCTAAACTACCATTTGTGTTTCAATAGCTATGATATTTGTCAGTGATAGTAAAATATACCACACATACAAATTTTTATTGGGGCATCTAACCATAATTTAATGGGCGTATGCAGGTTCCAGTATGTAGTTAAGATTTATTATGATGAATGAGAATGTTTACTTCTGTTTAGTGACGGCTCTTCTCTACATAACTAACTTAAGATGTTTTGCTGAAGGATCTTAGTTTCATTGACTCGTGTTTTTGACCCCTTCTCTATAGAATGCTTCTAAACTACCACTTATCATTGTACAATTTCTTTTTGAATTGTTCTTCTATTTATGAGATTGGGTGTAATAATATTGCATTATCTTCCACTAGTAACTTCCGTCTTCATAAAGTTTGAGTATTCCTCTTGAAGTGGAAATCTTCTTAGTTTCCCAGACATCTTTTGATGCAGTGAACAATTGGTAGAATTTTACTAGTTGAAAACAAAGTTGCAAAATGAAAAGTTTCTATGATTTCGGTTTTGGATTAATGTGTATAATCTGCTGTTGGAATAAATGGCTTTTCTTGGCATCCTCAAGGGAGAGGTGCAGGTTTTAACTTTCAAGTCTCCCTTGTGATAAGATATGTGTCTTACTTGCAAAAAGTAATTTTAGATTAATGCACATCATACTGGCTAAGTGAGTTTATCAATATTTCTCTCTAGGTTTATCATAAGTAGCACATCATAATTTATAAAAGTCAATACTAATAATGATGCTTGTGGCGATGAACTTGAAGAAAAAAATTTAAAGCTTGTTTGGTTCTGTTAACTGAAAGCAACCACAAAACACTTTTATCTGACATTGGACTTTTCTTTAATGCAATTTTCAGAAAACAATTTCAAAAACTATCTACTACAAAAAAAAAAAAAAAAAATTGACAATTTTTTTGTTTTGGGGAACAAAAAGCTATTCTCAGAAAATTGAACAATGTAGGCCCTTAAGTGTACGTCTACTCTTCAAAATTTTCTTTTTATTGTTGTTATTAGGAAATACATATAAATATCATATCTTTCTGTTTCTTTAAAAATTCTAGATACAATGTGTTTCTCTTTGGTGAGCCCTAGAGTTGTCTTTCATGGAAGTTGGATATTATATATTCTTTTATTTTCCATTCTTGTTTGCTGCCTACAACATTCACAGCCCTTTAATAATGATTGATTTCATGCAGTTGTTCACAATGCATCATTAGCATCCACAGTGCTCCCAACAAGAAGGTTAGAGAAGTTGATTTTCAATCCAGAAGTGTTGTGTTGACTTTGTTGGAGCTGAAAGAGAAAAGAGAACTGGGAATTAGGATTTTTTGTAATTTAACTGATATATGCAACTGCCCAAAAATTATGTTTTGAGAAAGGAACGTCATTTGAAATTTGTTAAAACGGGGCCTAAGAGAACTCTTAGGGACAAAATAATAAATGGGATATATGATTGGTCATATAATCGTGGTTGACTCTGCATAGATTGCGTCTTGACTTTATTTATTTTTTTTTTGAAAGGTTTGTGTCTAGACTTTTATCCCTACCATTGATGATGAAAAAAAAAAAAAAAAAAAAAAAAAAAGGGTTGGTGTTTTTCTATGATTGATCTGAGTTTGGTAGACTTTCAATAGTTTGAGTCAATCAGGTCAATCAGGTCTGTGATTATGTTGGTTACTCAAAAAGATCTAATAGATTCTTTTCCTGCACATTAGGAGAGAAACATAAGATAGTATTTTTTTTTTTTTTTTATTGGGAAAATTAGACTGTCCTCCCCTGATGGATCTGTATATACATGTATCATTTTTATACCCCGCGCGCGCGCGCGCGCACACACATATATATATTATTTGCCTAAGCTGAAACCATGTTGAACTCCAGTCGATTGATCACATAGAGATTAGAGTGTCATAATAATAATATTGTAGTTCTTAAATGCTAGGCCCAATGTCATCACCAATGGTGAATACAAGGCCCAATCTATTCCTCTCTGCGAACATCGCCATCTGTTTCTTCTCTGTAATAATATAATCTGTACGTACAGCTGCATCCAGAACACCATCGATTCCAGTAGAGTCCGGTTGAGTGAATCAGTCGGCAACGGCTGTTGCCATGAACGGTGACCCCAAGATAAACAATCCAATCAATACAATCAATACGTTTTATTCGCAGAAAATATATTCTCTGTGTATATGAATATGTTTTAATGAGACGCAAATTGACCGTGCGGTGTGTGAAGGCTTCACGGGTGATGGAAGTTGCAGACCAGACCGCCACACCCAATCCCCCAATCTTGGCCCGAACGTACACCGCTGAGCTTTGCTTAGTTCCGTTGCCGCCCTCAACCACAGTTGTCCCACTCCTGTAACTTCCTTATTTTCGACATGACCCATAAAACCTCCTCTGTAATTCCTTTAAATTTGATCGAACATAGACAAAGTTGAAGACTCAAAGTGACGATCAAATTTACGCTTGGTGCAAACCTAAATACACGTGATGGAATTAAGATGAATGGTGCAAGAGTTGTGATACATCCGAGAGCTGTGCGGCTGGGATGGTGTTGTTAATTAATGAAATTAGGGTTCGTGATTGAAGAGTTGGAAGAATAGTTGAACTGCAAACTAATGGAAACTGCTCCCCCCCCCCCCCTAATTTTTTTTCCTCTTTGGCCTCCAACTTCGGAATCGAAGAGGTGGAAAACCATTCAACTGGGGTAAGGGCTAAACGGTAATTTCATTTTTTAGTTAACCGCTAGTTGACTGGCAACAAAATGATAGTTTAGGAAGTTTTATATATTTTGGGATTCTTGCAATCCGGTCATAGTACAGGAGGGTTTAGTGCACTTAACCCTATATTCTTTTATTTTCAATTCTTGTTTGCTGCCTACATGATTTACAGCCCTTTAATAATGATTGATTTCATGCAGTTGTTCACAATGAAGTCATTAACATCCACGGTGCTCCCAACAAGAAGGTTAGAGAAGTTGATATTCAATCCAGAAGTGTCATGTTGACTTTGTTGGAGCTGAAAGGGAAAAGAGAACCGGGAATCAGGATTTTCTGTAATTTAACTGATATATGCAACTGTCCAAAAATTCAAAGAACGTCATTTGAAAGTCAATGACTGTCATTTGAGAGTCAATGATTGCTGCATATAGATTGTGTCTGACTTTTATCCCTAGTGTGGATGATAAAGAATAAAAATAAAAAATAAAAAAAAGGTAGGTGTTTTCTACGATTGATCTGAGTTAGGTAGACTTTATATAGTTTGAGTTAATTCTGTTTTAGCGTGCTCAATCACATGCATATTATGGAGTGAATAACTCAATGGTGAAGATTTTCATCTACAATGTCGGTTGGTCCATCTTGTGCTGAAAGTAACTTTCTATGGACTGAATAATAACCAAGTAAACTGGAACCATGAAAGTTCATCTCTAGTTCCCTTGACAACCTAATAATTTTTTGAGATTTCCACTTCTTGATCAAGCCTTTATTATAAACGGTCACGGCAAAAACAGTTCTTCGAAGCTCTGTTTGGGTAATGCGGCCGCCACAAATGGTGTTGTCTCCTTAAAGAGGAGGCTACTTCAATCCGGAGGCTTTGGAGGAGGACGGTGGTGTGGAAACATCTGATCTCAGATTTCGGACAATATGGCAATTTCAGAAGAGGAAGAACACTTGAAGATTCTGGGACGGGATGTGGTAGATGAATGCTGAAAAAGCGAGAGCTTCAAGGAGTGGGATGGTAGAAATATGCACAACATTAGGCTCAATTCCTGGCAGTAGTGGACACTGGTGGAGCCAGTTATCCATCCAAGAGGAGGAGAAGTTGGACTCATTCCCTACTTTGGTTTGGATGAATGGCCTAGCAGCTCCTCTTTAACCAAACAATTATCCTAAGGGTATCTAGGTTGTGGTTTTTATTTATATATTTGTCTTAATTGTAAATAGGTATCGTTACTCTTCTTGTTTGTTTTCATAATCCATTTATAGTTGTATCAGTTTTTTATAACCCATTTCCTTGTTTTTTTAGTTTTCCATTTATAGTTGTAACATCTTTTTCTTCTTCTTTTTTCTTTTTTTTACAAAACAAAATTACAATGTTTTTTTTTATAATTTTTGATACTTTGTGAATTCCTTTTTAAATTTCTCTCCTTATTTTTGTTTCTAAGAGTTAGATCACTAGTTTTGATCATTATAGCAATTAACAAATGTCTATCGAAATAATTAATGCATTTTAATATCAAATACCAAATCTTTTATCTTAGAGATAAAACTTTAATCGAAACAAATTAAAGTTTTAATTAATGATATACATGGTGATTGAAACTTTAATTGCCAATAAAAATAGTAGATTAAGATGAAACCTACAAAAAGTATTGCAACTTTCTAAATAATTAATTACCTTATATTTTAATATAAAACCCATTATATTTGACATATAAATAGTCACACAGACTTCATAAAATAAGAGGACTGTTATTTCTTCGCAGAGTTTGTAACTTTTGTTTAAGGATTCCATATCGATGTACAATTAGTACTAGGTTATGTCAAATTACACACGAACTAGGAATCTATTACCCAACCTACCCAACCTAACCTTATTTGTCGAAAATTGTTTTGAAATAACCTAAGGTTTTGAAATAACCTAGGGTTTAACTGCAAAAGCATAGAGATAATGGCAAGAGGGAAAAGTAGAGCATCGTCAAGATCTATTCTTTTGGCTCTCCCTGAAGAAATGCTGATTCAAATCCTTGTTAGATTGCCGGTAAAATCACTAGTGCAAGTGCGGTCAACCTGCAAATCATGGTACTCTCTAATCACTGATCGTAGCTTCATTGAGTCACATCTCAAACATCAAACAAGCCCGAGCAACAACAACTACAGTTCTCTCTTCCTCTTTTAAGTACAAACCTGTAGTGACGGTCATTGGCGCTACGCAATACGTTGTGATGATGAATCGTTTGGTGAGTATTTTAAACCGGAATTCGTTGTGATGATGAATCGTTTGGTGAGTATTTTAAACCGGAGCTTCCGGTACAAATCACTCTTGGCTCCAGTTCTGATAACTACAGATGTAAAAATATTTATATTTAACCTATTTTCCTGAAGATAGTTTCTGTGATTGTGTATATTTGACCACCTTTGTAGCACAAGTGTAAATCAGTTTAAGAAGGAAGAAGAGAAGGCAGTGCACGTGAGAAATATCAACTAAAAAAAAGGATGGTTCTATAATTGAAGAACAAAAAATATTTAACTCCATATCTCAAAAAACCTTTGATACTGCAAACCAAAAGTAGTTCAATTAGACAATTAACTAATGATATCAAACCATACTATAACTGCTTCATAGAAACCACAACCTCGAATACGGTTACTTTCTTATTTGATATGTTAGTTTTACATATATTTAACACTTCACTTTACTAGTTTGATACACAAGTCTAAAATTGGCATTTGCAATTTTTGCAATATTAAGGGTTCTGAGGCATCGTTTTAGTCTCTTTTAAGCATAATTATTAGTATGACTTTCATAAATTATGGTGTGCTACTTGTGACAAACCTAAGCTTTGATATTATTTTTGAAACTCACTCGAGTTAGCTAAAGTCTCCTAGTGTGATCTATACAGAAGAAGGAAAAGCACCTTCTCAGAACAAAACTTAAGAGGACATGGGACCTCGCCAACCAAATTGACCAACAATAAAACAATAAAGTAACAAATAGCTACCCAAAAATCAGGTCTTAACCATATAAACAAAATCATAATGGCTGGCACAGGTCTTAACCACATAAACCAAATCATGAATCTAAGTTTTGTACCTGGGCTGTTTAGCAACAGATTTACATAGCACCACAACAGCTAGTTAATCCAATCCCGATGAAGATATTTCAGACGGTAGCTCCACAAAAATGGATCATCAATCGCTCTTCTAAGAACTTCTGACAGATCTAATGGTCGACCATCCTGCGCCTCACCAGCAATAAAATATGCAAGTCTGTTGCCTTCACGAGGCACATACTGGGGTGGAAGGCAGTATGGAAAAGCACTCAGTATGCTTTCGATATCACTACAAGATCAACAAAAACTAATATGGTAAGGACAACTTTAATGAGCAAAGAATTCTACGATAAAAATGTAGACCCAAAGGCAATTTTGAATGCACAATAGTACCTATGTTTAACTACAAAATCATGATCCGGCTTGTGTATGCCAGAATTAATGGCATTCACAAGGTCCAAATTGTCGTTCTACCACACCCACGGTTCATTCCGCAAACCACTATTCTCATAGGAAGCACGGGCACTATAACAAATACCACACATCTCAGCCTCGTAGGATGACAATATCCCATCTACCTTACCAGAATACACAGGTCCGAGATTGTTTTCACAATCTCTCCATACCCCACTCCACGCTGCCTTTCCAGGAACACCAGGAATTCCAGAAGCAATGAAGGCACCATCGGTGTTCAACTTATTTACACATGCTGGAGGAGCCTCATACACAACTGTCAATGCTGGATAGGACAGCAAAGTATCATTAGATTGTGCCACCACATTAACACGGTTTCCCTTCATAAAATCCAGAATATAACGCCTACTTTCCTCCCTAGAAGATTGAAACCATCGTTCAAAGTCAACAACAGAAATATATTCACGGGAATTCAAAAGATGTCCTAGACGACGCAGATCGGCAACTGTTGAAGAAATATATCTTCTCATTTCATACAACTCTTCCTTCATGCCAGAACTGAAAAACATTTTTCTGACAGACTGGAATTTTATCAACAAAAAAAAATGTCATTTTTAAAATCTCAATATATAAAATAATAAAACAATTCTGCTAATTATAAAACTCACCTCAGGGTCCACGCTATAAATTTGCTTGTAAGGTCCCCCCGTCTTCCAATGACATATTCCAAAAACGAGGAGTAAGGTATTGTTCCTGAGTCTCCTGTTAGCCAAAATGGAGTGCCATGACCTGCAATTTTGACGTATAATTCAGCCCTGTGAATTTCGCTACATATAATTATCCCACTAAAACTTACTATAAAAAGGGCAATATTGTAAGTTACTAAGTTTTGTCTATAGTCGGTCCTTGGATAATTTGGACATTGTTAATACTTATAAGATCTGATTGAGTATCATTTTACCTATAATCGGACGATGATAAGGATTGATGACTCTCTGATTCTGAGAAGGATTGATGACTCCCGGATTTTGCACAGGATTTATGACGCTCGAGATTGTACTGAACTGGCATCGTCGAGGACAACCTAAGGAAGAAGGCAACAAGACAAGAATAATTCAACTGTTATGGTGTTAACATGCAGTCTCAAGATGTTCTGGGAAGCTATTGTTAACAATGAAAAAATATGCAATTTGGCACCCACATCTCATTGAGAGCACTCTGAATAGGTATAATCAGAGCATTCACTGCATTAGAGGTTCCTGTTACATTCACAAATGCATGCATACACACAGAGAAATAGATGGGTATAAATTAAAATTGCAATCAGAAAAAATAACATAAAAGAAGACAAAATAACCCAAGAATTACACTCAATTTATATAAATTAAAATTGTAGTCAGAAAAACTAATAAAGTCGTTCTAAAACCTGAGCAAAGGAAAGATAAAACGAAAAATAAAATTTAACTAAGCTTAAATTGACCTTATTTATTGTATCTAGATGACTATTGCTTTAACACCAAGGGAAATACACAATTACCAACTGTATATATGTGTATTATGGTGTTAACAATCTTCTAGGGAGCTGTTGTTAGCAAAAAGTTGCTATTTTTGAACCCACCTGTCATTGAGAGCCAACTCTTAACTGGTATAACTAGACTATTCACTGCATTAGAGGTTCCTGTTACATTCACAAATGCATGCATACACACAGAAATAGATAGGTATCGAAAATGTTGGCGTTCAGGAACTTTGGAAGTAAGTGCCGTCTGAGCTATGGCTATTCAGTGCATTAGTTAACTATTGCCTTAATTTTTGTTGTTACAGAATGAGGAGTTAGATAGTCTGTGACTTACCACGGACAATATAGTAGGCGTGTGATTGAACTTTCGAAAAAATAAAAAATTGCTATACAGCCCAAATTTCTAAACGGAACGCATTTATCATTGCAAGTAGCTATAACTGAAAATAATTTTAGCAATAGGCCATACAGAGTGGTATTGAAACAACCTCAGTTCTCAAAGGCTTCATCTTTTCTTCTTATGTAATTTTCTAGCTAGTTATATAATACTAATTGATGATTTATAAAAATTAACAGGATCTGAATTTAGGGTTGGACTAAAATTCCTACATGATAGAGATAAAAGAATTGAGACAGGACAGAAAGCAAATTATCCATTAAGAGGACAACACGTGTTACCACTTCCAAGTTTTTGGTTTCTATGCAATGGAGTCCCTGCTGGCTTTGTTCCTCTACATCCCCACTTGCATAAAAAAGATGTGGATCTACGCCGTATATCAACAGGATTATGGTTTCAAGGGTCATCATTACCCTACTCAATACAGATTCCATCCTCAAGTTGAACCCATTCCTTCACTGAATAAGTAAAGAACTTCAAATTCCTCACTCACTGCCTTAAATCCTCAAACAGGCCATAAAGCTCAACCACCTTCGGCTATATTTTGCTTCAGAAACAAACTTTCAATGAGAGAAACTCTTTCAAAAAGCAAAGCCCCTCCTCCTACGGGAGCTGCAAGCGATACGGCATGGTAAGAGGATATGCCCTCTACCTACTCTATGAGTGGATCAACATTCACCACATAAGGCATTCGAGCCCGCCTTTACTCCTTCCCTCTTAAAACAAAGTCCAGACCATGCTCGTAGTTTAAACTCTTTTATTTTGAAGACAATGCGCGAACGGAATTAGTGGGAAACCTACACATCATCTCTGACGCTTTTCCCTCCTGTTTCCTTGTAGCTATGCATGGAAAAAGGAGAAAAGCACACTAAAATGGAATTCTAGTAAGCCTTTCTTGCCACTTTATGTCTGATTTTGGCTTTGATTTTATGGGCTTCTTGTAGTCTGCACATGGTCTCGATGATCGAGAGAGTTAATAGACTGACCTTCTACATATTCCCCTAGAGAACTTGCCCATGGTCTGTTGCATTTCTGATCCATGCCTGAGCAAAGACGGACTGGTATTGAATCTGTGTTTACAGTCCCTCCCCATTTGAATAAAAGTAGCCACCTCTAACTCCCCCGAGGTTTAGGGGAATAACCTCCCTTTCAAGCACCTCACCGGCAATCGAAACGTCTCTTTTCCCATTTTCTACTGTTTTCTAATGCCACACATACTTGTCTCTCTAAACCATCTAACCCAGCTGTTAATGTACTCCCATGCCAAAGAGCAAGCAGCGGGAACTTTTTTATGGCTGAAATAGGAATACTTAGTCCTCGCCTAGCCAAGTAAACACTCTATCAGTGGCGCTCTTCTGGTACACTAGACTGGTAATCATGTGCTCGTGTGTTCTTGTTATCAAGGGTTGGCATCACCAGGTTGAGTCTCTCTCTTTGGCCTCAGGGTACTCTATTCTATAATTAGGCAGGCTACCCTTATTTTACAAGCAAAAACATAAAAGCATCCATCCCTTTGACCTTTCACTTCCCAGGGAGAATGACTTCTATTAAGGGCTACGATCAGGAAGACCTATGGCTAGAATCTGGGGGGCGCAAAACGCAGCAAGAGGCAAGACTGACTAATGAGGGCTTCCTTAACAGTAGCTACAATAAGGGACCAGACTCTTACGCGAAAATGCAATAGGGGATGAGCAAAAGCCATTCATAAGAATCAGACCACATGACAAAGAAATAAAAGTTAATTTAGTCATGCAATTGACAGGGGACAGAAAGCAGATTATCAATCTTTAGTTTGATCCCACTGCAAGCTTCCATGACTACACATCCTCTAGAACCCTCATCAAAAAGTGTGTAAGCATACAACAATAGGACATAAGCTACACTATAACACACAACCCCAACAATTGATATTGATTTCACACGCTATCGAATGAGAAAGATGATGAACATTACAGCACACAACCAGAAGCTTTTATTCATTTCCTTTCTTGGGATTTTGATCAGCTATAAACAGAAAAAAGTCTAATCTCATGGAATAAGGAGATGAGCTAAACGTCTCGTTGTGTATAAAACATTTTGGCTTTTTTCCTCTGAATCCTTATGGTAATATATATCTATATATATATATATATATATATATATATATATATATATATATTCATTATGTACCTTTCTTTAAGAAAAATGACTTGTTTTATGGTATTTTACAGAGTTTCTGTTGATAACGTATTATTTAATTTTCCAACCAGTACAAAACCTTCATTGTTGACATTAAACTATAATCTATTAAATGAAATAATAAAGAAAAAATACGCATGTAAATCTATTAACAGTTACAAAAATTGATTAAAATGTTTATAAAACTTACCAATACGTGAAGTATCATGTTGCAGATGCTCTGCAGAAGTAGAAGCCATAATTGATCTATTCTTCCTCGGGAGACCATTTGCATCTGTACAAAATCAAGAACAATGAACATTTAATGACCTCCACTGTTGGCATTAAACTGTATACGTAAGTGAAACAATAAAGAAAATAGGCATGTAAATCTATTAAACTGTATATACCAATATTTGAAGGATTAAATTGTATACGAAGGGATTGCTGAGAAACCCGAGAGGCACCTTCTTCCTTTGGAAGACAAGGAAAAAACCCTAGCCATTGTTTCGTTCACTCTGAGAGTAGGCGAGATTGCAATACTCGTACGGTGGAGAGAGAAAAAATTGGATGCCTCTATCGAAACCCTAGTTAGGCGAGATTGCAGAGAGAAAAAATTGTATGCGATATTTTGTTCTCTTGCTCGTTCGGACGCTAGACTATTTCGAGTAGACTTTCTTTGTTCATGCTTGACTTTCAGTGAGACCTAACACGGGGTTCGCTCCTTTATGAGGAATGGCGCATTATGAGCTTAGCCGGGGAACGGAACCTACATGCTGGGCTTGAACCAAAATGCTGGGCTTGAACCAAACCAAAAGCTTATTAGACCCACGTATTGCACTTACCCGAGTAGGACGAGATTGTTTGGATACCAACTTTTGAAACGAATTGGTGCCTTAGGATTGAACTTGGAGAAAATTGTGTAATAAAATTTTCTCCAAATCCAATTCCGAGGAATCAATTCTGTGCACCCAAGTGCACCCTTACATACCGAGTACCATTCCAACGAACCATGGCGCACAATAGCCTCTTTGATTTGAGTTTATAGAAATCCAAAACGAACAAAAACAAATAGCAAACAACTGATTATAAAACCCAAAATGTTTGGTTGTGAAAAATAAAAAAACATATAGAAGAAATGAACACAAATCTTTGTTGTGATTTATTGTAAATGTTATGGCGTAACCATGTGTAATACCGGGTATTACACCATGTAACAAAACAAACAAACAAACAAACAAAAAACTGACACACCAATGACACACAAGTGATTATAGAGACCCAAATCATCGATCCGTTGCAGTGGAGGAGAGAAGAAGGTGTTTGAGATATTTGAAGATAAATTGTGGAGAGAGTCAAAAGAGATGTAAAGGGTTGAGGAGTGTTTAGGGGTCTCCGCCGAATACAGGTCAGGCAAAAACATAACGTGCCATTTAATGCAAAAAAAAAAAAAAAAAATTGTTAAAACTTTTATTTAAAATATATTTTTTTAATCCAAAATAGGTAAATACTACTGCAAATAGCATAACTAAGTTTATATTTTTTAATTAAAAATTGTAAAGAATTTTGTACACCACAATAAGTGTCGGTCAACTGACCCCACTAGCTAGATAAGGTACCCTAGTGTGACACTAGGGTTTTCAGAACCAAACCAGTATGATACAGCTGGCACATTAAATCATAATTACGTCTCGATCTTTCCAAATTACATCCATCTTCCTAGATCTACCCCATACAGCTGTACACCACTTGATTTTCGCAAAAAAAAATTAAAATAAAATTGTTTTTAAAACCAATTTTATTTTTAACCCTAAAACCTAAAAAAAATTGTTTTTTCATATAAATAAATAAACAAAACTAATAAAATCTTTCTTTTTTTCAATGAATCAAAGGTGAAAGCCATCGAAGATGAGAAAATCAGAATTTCAAAATAAGTATTTTTAAAATCCTGTAAATGATGAGAAGAAAATCTTTGGGAAAAAAATTGTGAAAAAACAAAAGATTTTTTCACACTATTCAATTGTATATAAATAAATAGAATCAAAGGTTAAAGCCGTCGAAGAAATCAAAGATGAGAAAATCAGAATTTCAAAATTAGTATTTTTAAAATCCGAAAATCTTTGGGGAAAAAATTGTAAAAAAACAAAAAAAAAAAAAAAATCACACTATTCAATTGTATATAAATAAATAAACAAAACTAAAAAAAATCTTTCTTTTCAAAGGTGAAAGCCATCGAAGAAATCAAAGATGAGAAAATCAGAATTTCAAAATTAGTATTTTTAAAATCCTGTAAGTGATGAGATGAAAATCTTTGGGGAAAAAATTGTAAAAAAGGAAAAGAATTTTTCACGCTATTCAATTGTATATAAATAAATAAACAAAACTAAAAAAAATCTTTTCTTTCTTTCAATTGCTAATAAGAATCAAAGGTGAAAGCCATCAAAGAAATCAAAGATGAGAAAATCAAAATTTCAAAATTAGTATTTTTAAAATTCTGTAAAGGATGAGAAGAAAACCTTTGGGGAAGAGATAACCTTAGATCGATGGGGAGAGAAACTATAAAAGAAACAACCACAAGAGAGTCAACAAGGGTAGATCTGCACGTTCAAAAGAAAAAATAACCGGTTTTGTTGAGAGAGAGGAGACGGAGAGAAAAAGAGAGAGTCAACAAGAGCAGATCTACACGTTCAAAAGGAAAAATAACTGGTATTGTTGTGTGGGAGAGAGAGAGAGAGAGTACATTAGGTCGAAGTACATCAAATGTAAAGAAGCGTGTGCGGTGGTTGTCAGATGGGTGTTCTGAGATCAGTTAAAATTGGGTCGGTGTTGGATCAAATGGGCCTACCCACTCGGGAAAGCGGATCCGGGCGTGCCCAAGCTTATATTAAGTTTAGATTAAAATTTGAGATTTGATATTGAATGCCAGTAGTTAAAAATACATTAATATCTTATATTTTAATACATATTACACATTTATCCTCTTATGCATTTAAGTTTCTTATTTTAGCAAAACTAACACATTGTCAATTGAATTTGTTTTTTTCTACTAATATTTTACATTATATATATAAGTGTATAATTTTATGACTTGATTAGTTTTCTCTTTAGGAGCCGGAGAGAGAAACTCTCACTTGCTAATTTATTTTTTCTTGAATCATTCTTAGATTTATTTTTTCTCGCTAATTTATTAGTTTGCCCACATGACCATAGATAGAAAGATACGTATATAATTCTTTGTGTTGGTCAGAAACTAAAGCTCCAAAATTTATAATTATGTTTGTATGTCTTTTACATAGTTTGCGCTGTAGTCGTGGACAATTGTCTAATACATTGCAGATGATGACTACTTTGATGGACCTTAATGTTCACGTCTATGATGACTATAGTAGATGAAAAATATGAATTTTTATGCTTTTGGAAAGAGAATATTGACAGAGTAACTAGCTTAAAAAATAGAAAATAGTGACTTTGGTAAAGAAATACGACATCGTATTAATTATTTGTGATACAATCTTGAGCTTTTCTTCTTCTTTTTTTTCCTTTTTTTCATGAAGTCTAGCACTGCTCATATATATAATCTTCAGCACTCTGTATACTCTATATTTTTGTTGAGTATTTATTTAAAATTTAACGATATATCAAAACAAAATACAATTATACAAAGCTTTAAGTGAATTACGTAAATCATAAGATATTAAGTTATATTAGGGTTTGGATTCCATAGTAATAAGTTTTGCTATTTTTTTTCTACTTCCTATATTAAGATATTTCCTTTACTAAAAATTTGTTTAACATACACATATCAGCCAAATAAGAGCCACCTAATTCAAGATTAAATCAATTTAAAAACATTTGGCCTACTTAGTTTGTAACATTTGAAAATAGTTTTCTGTTCTTATAAATTTGTACAAAAAAAAAACTTTATTTGGTATGGTAATGCAAGTTTTCATAGAACTATAAAGGGTAAAGTGCAAAAAAAAAAAAAAACTTGCTATACAAAAAATGTGCAAAAAACTCCCCTTTTAGAAAAAATAAAAAATGCATATAAATACCTATATCATCAACCTTGTGAGCAAATTGCCCCTGTTGAACAAATTGGTTGGAAAATTACAGTTGGTGATGTCATGTTTTAAAAAAAAAACAAAGGTACCCTTTTTGAGTTATAAGAATGCCCCTACTAATTTGACAGATATATGAATAATTAATGGACTTGTTTGAATGTACTTCAAGTCCAAGAATCTCTCTCTTTCTAATTTTTCTTATCTCTTTCAAATTTCTCTTCGGCATATGGTGCCTCTCTCTAAATTTTTTTCTCTCTCTAAAAATTTTCTCTATTAAGGGTAGTCTCTATCCTTTCAGATTGATTTTTTTTCTCTCTCTCTTCACAGTTGGATGAGAGCGTCCATAGATTTTATTAATAAATTTAGCAAATAACCATTCTAGGAAACATGGGTTCATTTAGATTTCAAAGAGTTGTGTTCAAGGTGCTTCAAGCACCAGTTCAGAGATTTCTAATTTTCAAGAGGACTTCTAATCAAATTTTGGATCCCCATTTCAAGAAACATTGATCCATGAACTGGGTTGTTGTTTTCAATAAATACAGCTCTGAAGTTCAAAATTTTTTGTACAATTTTCAGCAAGTTTGAGAAGCCCAGTTCAGGAAACTTGTTAATGAATTAGCCATTGCTTACTTTATGTGGTCTACTAATTGTCAATCACCAATTTTGCTGCTTAAGTATTCATTTGATCTGTGTAAAACAGTGAGAGAGATAGAGTGAGAACGAATCAAATTGAGAAACCTAGTTCGTTCATCTACAGTGTGTCCGAGAGTTGTTTCAGTGAGAGAGAATGAAGATTGTTCATGTCTGGGAGGTGTGTGTTTAAGTGTGTTTGGCTTCAGGTATAAAGAATAGGATTATTGACTTGTTATTATTTTAAGGGTAATTTTGAAATTTTGCATTTTGCCTATTTAAATTTTTTTTTTTGTTAATGATAAAGTGAGGATAATTTAGTAATTTCACCACCAAAATTATGATTGTCTTATTTGAACAAATTAAAAAATGTAAGAGTTTTGTGAAAACCGGGGGTAATTGAACATTTTGTATATTATGAAGAGTTTTTTTGCACTTAACCCAACTTTAAAAGATTGTCTTTTGAGAACAGTTTACTGTTTTATGAGTTCTTGAGAACTATTTTTACAGTTATAAATCAATCAGGCCCAAAAGAGAGATCATATTCGCACTCCACTTTCTACGTTTGCACACTACTTTTTTTTTTTTTTTTTTTTTTTATCTACATTTACATTCTACTTTTCTTTTTTCTTTAATATGAAGGAGAATGAGATTATTGACAACTTTAATGCCTGGCTTAAAACATAAAAATATGACATGTTATTCTAAAATTTCAAGTTAAATTGGTATCATTACTATTCTTGTTTGTATTCATAAAATACGTCTATTTCTCTTTCCTTATATTTTTAGTTTTATTATCTTCATTTTCGTTTTCACAACAACTTTAATGGTACTCAAATGTAAGAATTTGATTTGTACAAAATCAAGAAAAAAAATTACAATGTTTTATAATTTTTTAATGCTTTGCAATTTTTCTTTAAATTCCTCTCTTTGTTTTGGTTTATGGGAGTCACGTACATCATTATAGCAATGAACAAATACCTATCAAAGTAATAAATATGGATATTAATGATAAAAAATACAATCTTTTATATATAACGAGAGATACACAATCTAATTATAATAAGAAATGCAATCTTAAGTATTTCAACGATTCTTAGGGAAATGCAATTTGATATACATGGTGATTGAAAATTTAATCCCCAACAAAAATACTATATTAAGATGAAACCTAAAAAATAAATTATAACTTTCTAAATTGTTAATTACTTTATATTTTAAAATGAATCTTATTATATTTGACATACAGGTAGCCATTAAGCTAACATGGCCATTGCATCAGCCACTAACCAATTTCAATGCATAGTCCCTGTCTGTCCCTCTCGTTTTCTCCTTAGCTTTCTTTTGTCCCATTACAGACCTTGTTTCTTTATCCAACATATTCTCTATTTTTCTTTTCTTAACAAAGCACAAATCCTTTTATCCAGAAAGCCCTAATGCCCCCAATTTCTCTCTCTCCTTTTCTCTCTCTCTCTCTTGTTTTTTTTTTTTTTTTGGGCTTTTTCTACTTTTTCCTTTTTGGCTCTCCTTTTTGGCTCATTTGATCAAATGGAAATAAGTAAGAAAAGAAAAGAAAATAAATAGAAAGTAAAAGAAAAGTGAAGTGAATGAAAAGAAATTTTATAGCATGCATTTGATTAGCATGAAATTTTATTTAAGAAAATTGTAAAAAAATATTAGTTTGTTAATTTGGATGGCATGAAAGTAAAAAGAAAGTGATTATGTATACTAAAAATATCCTTATGAAATAAAAAATGATAGATTATTAAATTCAAATATATATTTGTTTATATTCATTTCTATTATTTATATTTAGAACAAGGCTTCATAATATTTTCTTAAATAAAACTAATTATTAGTTTAAGATAAACAAATTAAAAAAGTTAAAAAATTAGAGATGAAGATGCACTACTGCTTGGTAGAAAAATCAAATATTTCATTATATAAATATATACATATACATACCTATTATGAGTGGCTAGAATTGCAAAATAAAACCAACAATTAAAAAATAAATAAATAATTCTATTTAGAAGCGGGATTTATTTTGAGTAAATTTTACCCAAATTATCATTGATATTCTGCATATATAATTGTATAATTTGCTAAGTTTTTGAGTAAAATAAGAACTGCAAATAAATAGACGCTTCTTTCACGGGAAAATAAATAAGCACTTTTTTTTTTGTGTTTTTTGGTGGAATTTTTTTAAGTAAAATACTTTATGCAGGAAACTAAATTTTTCATTAGATTTCTATTTCTATCCATCCAAACTCTAAAAAAATTTAAAAATTCTATGTTTCCTTTCTTTTCTAGTTGTTTCCACCTAACTAAAAAAAACCCTCTCTTTCTTTTCTTTATTGTTTCACCTCGTAGCACTATTTTTCTTCTCAAAGCACTTATTTTGATACATTATTTCTCCCTTTCTTCTCTCCCTTATCCCGATCTAACAAATGGATTAAATATATTTTGCTGCAGTATTTTGTTTAGCTCTTGCTTTTTCACTCTTCTCTTCCTGTATTTTGTTGTTGCATTTGTCCCTTTCAATTTTTTTTGGTTGTTGACATGTATACTTGTTTTTCCACATCCAAGCAAGTAGATTATGAATTTATTTATTTATTGTCTTTTGTTAATGACATGTAAACCTTTTGTTTCACATTCAAACAAGTAGATTAGATTTTATTTATTTATTTTGTTAAATGTCATTGGTGAATGAAATTTGGGAATTTGTATTTGTTCTAGGTTGATTACACCATGTTCTTCCCTAGTTAATAGAGATTTGCAATGCGACAAGGTTCTGTGTTCGTTAAGAGGGCTTGCAAGTGGGCAAACTCAAGTGAGTTTGGCGAGTCTAAAATGGTTTGCAAACCCAATTTGGCGTAGATTTTAGTTGGTTAACTGCAAGCTGTGTTATTTTTTAAGCCTACATTTTTTTTCAATCATCATCGTAGGTAAAGAGAGAAGGTGGTTTTTTTTTTTTTTTTTTTTTCCCCTCGGTAGTATAACCATCAAGTGACATCCCAACCATGTTTAAAG